AGTTATTTGCACAGGTTATTTGCAGCTGATGAAGACCCTATGAAATGAGATGATCTCATCTTACTCTACAAATAGTGCTTTCATTGCGATATTCAAGTTCATTTATGGGGGAATAAGTGCATGAAATGATACTCTTGTTTTGAACCTGAGTTTGACTATAATTAGACGATTTATATATATACGGTTGGAAAAATGAGTCAATCAGCTGATTGTATGACATACATGACTCATGGGTGTATGATCATATCCGATTGGTGGAAAAGGAAGATGGACAGACAGACAGTGGAAGTCAACAACCATTGAGTCTGTCTATAAACACCTTATTGATCATTGGTTATTTGCGTCATCCATTATGTTACACGGGCTATATGACTGTTTCTTCTCCTATGAAATAAGTTGATCATCAACACCGTCATATCACTGTAGATACTGAAAGAGCTGTATCGTATCTTCATCATTATTGATTAGTATGAGTGTTTACATATTGCAATATATACATTTTGAACACAGTTTTCAAGATCCGACGAAAAGACACCCATAATATTGGACTTGTAGTATAGTGACAAAAATCAAACCAGATGATTTCACCAAGCAGTTATACACACCAGTCTACTTTTCGACTAAACAGTTGGGTAAGAACTATATGTCAGAACAACAGAGTTACATACAGGTGTCTGATTACTTATCTACTCACTGTAAATAAAAGTGAGATATTGCTAGGGCGATGTTTCAATCTGTACCACACAGTGAAGTGCGGTAGTGGGGATTATATTTCTAAGGTAGTATTTCACCACGGACTGACATCAGTACGCGCTAATGATACTACTATAACTGGCTGTCTAAACCTAGGTAGTTGGAGCGGAATTCGAGCTCGTGGTGATCAGATCTTAATTTCACTTCAATCACCGAGGCTTCACCCAGTAGTCATGTCAGCGTGTAATGTGCGTTAATGCTTATTCATCATCACGTTAGCTGTTCTCTTGATTCAATCCCAATCGAGTTGAAATAGAGAGGGAGAGTAGAGGAGTTATTATCGATGAGACAATATGAGATAGCTGTAGTTCAGCATACAGGGTTTCCAACATTCAAGAGACCTTGGATTTACACCTTATGCATCGGTTCTTCCTTAGTCATGCTTCAGCTGTGTCTGCAATGAAAAAACTGGTTCAAATTTCGCCAGGTGAATACCTCATATCTTGGAGGCTATGTGCAATAATATTTGACTACCTCATAATAACCTCCAACAATCTGTGAGGGTTAGGCTAGGTGATTTTTCACCTAGTAATGCAATACATATCCCAACGTGTAGGAACAAAAACACTTATCATGAGTGTGGAAAACGGTCACTGAATATACTGTGGGTCATGGTGGGGAATATTTGTAACTCAGGTGGATGGTCTCAGTTGTGTTGTGTTCTCTGAGCTGGGTTGTTTAGTCATCAAGCTTTCGTCATCTTTCTAGACGACACCATAAGCACCAACTTCAGTATGAAGTGAGTTGTCAGTATCTCTCCGTGAGTGATTTAGTAGCTCCACCTGATCAACTAGCTCGTGATTGGTTGTTTCCTTCGATTGTTGTGTCATTGACTGTATGGATTTTCCTGTTGGATGTTCCTCTGCTTCACCTCTCACCTCTCTGTCGTTTATCATTCATCTCATTGTTTGATTGATAGATTGGGTCTATGTCTATGCATCTGTTGATTGCTGACTAACCTGAATGTCAAGTTTCTAGCAATTCTCTGATATTCTTTGTGTTTCCTCTCTCCCTCCAAAATTTCCACATTGTCGAAATTGAATTCATGTTCATAATTATCCATATACATCGAACTGAGTGATGAGACGTTGTGGCGTTTAATAGCCAATCGGTGTTGATGTAGAGAGGAAGGTGAAGGGGGTGACCACTTTGTCCAATGTAGTGTTGAATACAGTTATTCCAATTGACTTTTTAATTAATATTTGGTTTATCTTCTTTGGTTGTTGCATCATTTGGTCTGTATAATATGGATTGGAGGGAATTAGCAAGTTTATGAGCCACGCTAATTCCAAGTGATCTCATTAATCTTGTCGTGATCTCTGATGTATTCTTTATGTATGGTAAGATGATGCGTCTGTTGTTTTCTGTCGATGACTTTGTAGTTGATGGTGCACGGGGATATGCATGTGGTGATGAAGTTTTGTAGGTAGCCGTTCTTCTTCTTTAGGATGGATATCAAGTAACCTTTTTCGTTTCACCGTGTTGCACTGCAGTGTGTTTTCGCTCTTTTTGTAGAACATGTACCAAAATAGTTACAAGTTATGAATAACTGACTGACAAAATTAACGTAGAACCTTTACACACAAGTCCATTGATTCAAGTTGCCACACTTCACGGTAGTATACAAAGAACAGGTGGATAGAAAAGGAGTGGTATCAAGGCAGATAAACTTGTGTGACAGGATAAAGAATCTAGAGATAACGGTTAATCTAAATATTTAAGCTTCAGAAAATGTGAAGGAGTGAAAACATCTGCTCCATTGTGACTGACTTCCAGCCATTTCAACTACTGATTCCTTTCAACTCGGGGGACACCAACCAGGCAGTTTACATCACTCCACATGACTCAGACTGACAGTAATAGACTTGATAGATTGGTTTCACGTCTCAGTCTGGCAACCCTGAATACTCTTCCAACCTAATCATCCAACATCGCCCACTACAGCATTGCACGTCCAGGTAGGCAATGACTCGACATGCACAACGCATGTCCAAGCCAACTCATTCGATGAAGGTTCACAACCTCATTAACCGACTTGCCAGTCTTACCTAGTACCCTTCGCCTGACGTACTTCAACATTCTTCACACGGTGATTCCATGGTACGCGAGCAATGCTACGAAGACGTCTGTGATCGAAACACTACGACAACTTCATGTCTTCTACTTTTAACGGCCATGTCTCACAGCCATATGACAGGACAGAAGGGAATAAAGCTCAATATACACGTCCTTTGATATATAGTCGGATACCTCGCCAGTCGGCACCACAGATGATGCAAGTTGGCAAATGTCACACGAGCTTTCGGTATCCGAGCTGAGCTTTTGTCAGCAACTAGTCCATTCACGTTGATGCAACTCCTCAAGTAAGTGAAGTGATCGACATATTTCACCACTTCATCCCTTTATCGTTACACTGAGAAAGCCTGGAGAGCAGTTTCAGAGCATCATCTTACAAATAAAGAGGACCCATTTACCCAACAAGTGACACTGGAGATTATGCCAGAAAGTTTTAATGCCGCAATAGGCAATCAATTAACCCTACAGCGAACTTGGATTTTGTTTGGAAGGTGTTTTGACGTCAGTTTGTAAACTATAATCCAATTGGTTTTGGAATTTATACCAACCCTTGGGTTCCTAATGGAACATAAGGCTTCAGTAGCACATCTCCAATGCGCTCTGTTCTCTGAAATCTTTTGAACATGGCTCCACGACAGCCCACAAACTCTCATTTTCTCCTCACACGATCTCCTCTATGTCACCCTAGCCTCGGACACCTAACTCGTTTCCCATCTGGGTTCCACTCGACGGCCTGGCCTGGCGCGTGACGTCCCCGAATGGTCTTCTTAGTTCATGCCTAATTCGTCTCCACTTCCTTCTGCATATTTGTTGAGCGATAGGTGCTTGGTTGGTTCGTTACCAGCCAGCGTTCCTTGTTGCTAATCCTTTCTGGTCATCTGATTTTCAGTAACAAGTAAGCGTAGGCAGTTGTTGATGAATATCTGTAGTTTGTTGGAAATGCCTTTCGTAACGCGCTAAGTTTCTGAACCATACAGGAGCACTGACTTGACGTTGGTGTAGAAAATCCGGATCTTGTTCCACATGCTGAGTGGAGTGCAGTGCAGAAGATCTCCACATTGGTTTCAGGTAAATCAACGCCTGTCTTGCTGTCTTCCCGATCCTGGCTGGCTTTGACATCCTCATCTGTGCCGCCTGTAGTTGAAACGATGCTGCCTAGATAGGTGAAAGAAGCTACTTCCTTTAAGTTTCCCAGGTTGTTGGTAATTGGAGCTTGTTGTTGCTGTTGTTATTGGTTGGGTATCTTCATCACCCATGTCTTCTCTACGTTCACTTGAAGTCCCGTCATCGCTGCCTCTTCTGTCAACTTGTTAGTTTTCACCCGTAGATCTTCAAGTTTGTGCGACAGAAATACAAATCTTAGTTGTTATAAACTAGGTTACTTGGTGTGTAGATACAACTGGGAGTAGTAACTGTATGAGTATGTTCTATCCCCCTGTAGAATGCTGCTTTGATCTCGCTAGACGGTTTACACTCTAAAGTGATTGGTGAAAAAGAGTTAGTTCCCATCACAGATTAACACCAACCATAGGACCATTCAAAAGCTCGATAAGTACCGCATAGCTATTTCGTCCTTGTCCAGCGCTCCCCACCCCTTCAGGCGTATGCACCCATGCCGCCATGTGGGATGATACTCAGAACCATCAAGTCTCGCGGCAAGCATCTTACTACTTGGACTGATTGGTGTTAATCTATGGTAAAAACTCTATGAAACCTTCAAGTTGAATAAAGACAAGAAATGATGATAACTAAGTGGACATTTTAATAGTTAGATGAACAGAGAGACAGACAAAATAAACGCAGAACCTCGCACATAAGCGTATCGCTTCAACTTGCCACACTTCATAGTAGTATACAAAGAACAGGTGGATAAAATACGAGGAACATCAAAGTAGACAAAGTTGTGTGACAGAATAAGGCATCTGAAGATAACGGTTAGATCAAATATTCAAGCTTCAGGAGACGTCAAAGAGTGAATACATGTGTACCAATGTGACTAACTTTCTTCCATTTCATCAAGAATGCTCAACAACTGATTTCTATCATCTTATGAAATACAGTCAGATAGTCTTCATCTCCCAACATAGTTTAGAACAACAGATAGATACTTCATGCACCAAAAAATGTAACTCAGTATAATATAAAAGAATCTAAAATGTTATTAATCTTACTTGATGAATACCAAAGTACTCTTGACCCATTAAATCAGGTCGGAAGAGTAATTCTGGAGCTCGAAATCGTGCTGGACCAATTTCCAGTGTAGAACCATCTGGTAATGGGTATGATGCTAAGGCTTCCATTGCTTCAACTTTACTTGGATTTAAGCTGATAAAGCATGCACGTTCCTGTATGAAAGACAAGATAAAACAAGACAAACCAGAATAAAATAATATTAAATGTCCAATAATAATAATCATATGACAAAATATCATACACATTATGAGTTGGTTAAAGTTGAACTCATTGGCTCAGTTGATTCTCTTTCGTGCTCAGATAAACAGTGATGCATAAACAAGTGGGTTAGAGGTCAAGATATATAAAAATTGGTATAGTTCTACATTCTGCACTAATTTCTGGACGGATGATGATGAATACGGTTGACAAAAACATATGGCATCTGTACTAGACGATTCAATATGCTTAACCGAAGCAATAACTAATGAATGATATACAAACAGGGGGCTACACCACAGTCGACTAAAATATGTATGCAAGGTTGATACATCTTATACTGAAAACAATAAACTACAGTGATTGAGATATTCTCATAGTTCATTTCTTTCTTGTAATGCACGTTGTGTTGCCTACACTGTTGTATCCCTACACATAGGACGAAAGGACTGGAATTCACAGCTTTTTGTTCTCATTGGTTGACAACCCAACAGAACTGTCTATGCAATTTTAGGCTTTGAATTTATTCTTTGAGGACTGTTGGAATAAACTTATTTTTTGTTGTTGTCTAAGTCAGTTAATGTAACATAAGTAGTAACAGGAACGAGGCCGAATATAATAACTCGATGCAATGACTGTAGATAGAATCAACATTCACGGAAAGATTAGTCACAGTGGCCACAATGTCAGATCGTGAACGTTAAATATCATAACAAAACAGATAATGAAACGCCTAAAACGAGATGAAAGTCCTATCTGTATTGAAAAGAGGACAGACAATATCAACATGGGACCTGGGATAACTGTATAACGATCCAAGTTATCACTCCTCATATCAACATAACAAGCGACAATGCATCAAGATGAAGGATAGAGAAATAAAGAAGAAAGCAGTCAAAAGTGGTAGAAAGTTGGCTAAAAGAGAATACTAAAATCCCATATGACGGTAAAACTATGACAATGAGATTGATTCTCAGCATATCGCCTACAGTCTCTAACCACTGGTTTTTGTTGTCACCCAGATCCCAATTAAGAAGTCTACATTCCCCCACATAGATCAGGGTCAAAAGTCAAACACTTCATACAATGATATTATGTTTTAGTATGGCCACTTCTAACCTTTTCCCACTCTGAACCTACTTCAACTAACATTGTGCTATGAGGCAGTTGGTGACTAGGCATGCTGAATATTTGGCCCAGACATCCCATTTGATGAAAGTTCACAACCTCCTCAGTTGACTTTCTTCTCCTCAGAACTCAACACCTGACTTCAGTATTACTGACGTGGTGACAGTATTGTACACAGCCTATGCTAAGAAGGCAAAAGTAGTCGAACACCTGAAACCTGCTCATGTCCCTTACCTTTAACTGTCATGCTTCACAGTCCTAAAGTAGAACAGTGTGAATTGTAGAGCAGTACATTCGACCTTTAATAAGTAATCGGATATCATGGCAGCTATCACTAAGAGGTAAAACGGTTTTCCACAGAACTCATCTCTCACGACAGTCAGTTTCACTATTCTTTTTGGTTTTCAGTGCATCATTCAGCAGAACAACGCATAGGCAGCTGTTAACCGGCGTCTAGTAAAGCGGTGTACTTTCTTCCATTTCACATAATTTATTGTCCATATTGTCATACCATGTTAACTACAAAACTACTGAAAAACAGAAGACAACTCGACGAGAGAATCTTTATTAGGAAGAATTGGAATGGTAGTGGTTACATATGGAAGTTCTTGCACTAACGCAGCCATTTGCAAATGTCTTCGTTTCCTCTCCGTTCCTGTCTTGATTTCCTCCTGACCGGCTCTTCATACACTCTTATCAGCAGCATCCTCTGTAATACGCCTGTGTTGTCCCCTGCGTTGCTCTTGGCAGAAACCTTACGCATTGCCGGTAATTCCCTATGATTCCTGCCACCCTCTCGATATATACTACTTATATCCGTTGTTATCAGCAAAGCCCACTACGCTGTGAAACATAGTTTTAAAATGGTTCTAATTTTCTCACTTCCTTTGTGGTATGGGAAGTGGGACTTTCCATGTATCCGGAACAGATGCTGAGTCACTCCTGTTGAAGCATGTACTAAGTGTTCATTCGATAAACAAAAATCTGATTATCAATCTCTCCCTCCTCTACCCAACTAACTACTTGACTTTGAAAAATCTTCATCCCGATCCATTCTATTGTGTGTAATTGCATGCATACCTATCACCGAGTTTTCCTCGAAATTCCTTATTTTACTACGATTCACCAATTCTCACCTACCTCACGTTTTGTGTTAGGATAGTCTAATTGGCCAACACATGGTCGACTTCTTCGACCTATGTGTTTGACTTCACAATCGTTGTAAGGCATTCAGTAAGCTAAATTATTTGCCTGATTAAACAATACGATCTTTCAGCATTCAAAACTTGTTTCTAAGCTAGTTTGTTGGTTTAAATGCTACTCTAATACCAACGTGTTTGGGAATTCTACGTAATGTCTGTGAGGTACTCCCTCCTCGTATGGTATGGTACAGTATTCCCGCCATCATTATTAACATTATTATGACTACTATTAACACCTGTGTTATTAATGTTGGTCGTATTTTCCTTACGATTACTAAGGGACCTGCTGATTAATTTTGGAGGGTAACTGTCAGTGAGTAAGGTGTCCTTGATGTATCTGGTTTCTCGTCTTAGATCTTCTGTTTTACTAGTAAGGTTTTTAGTCCTGTTACTTAGACGTTTTACAAAGCTCGTCTGTAGCTAGAGATGCGATTACACACAACCACACAATAGGACGGAACAGGGTAAAAATTCTTAAAGCTAACCTGACTGGGTGGAGGGGGGGGAGAGATTGATAATCGGATTTTTGTTGATTGAATCAATACCCAAAACATGCAGCAACAGTACCTGTTCCGGACACATGGAAAGTCCTACTATCCATATCACAAAGGTGAGAAAATCAGAATTATGTGAAAACCATGTTTCAAAGTTGTGGAGTCATCTTGACATGAAGAGAGGCAATAAATTGTGTCCAAAACGTGATTCAGTTAATAATACTGTCCCATTGTGATACACATCCAATACAGCAACTAAAACGGAATTACATTCTATCATAATGCCAAAGTCTTACTCTTATATCAGTGTATTTTTTGTCTGAAGACTCAATGCAATACATACACCTGCAAGACTATGAGAACTAGCCATTGGACCTCTAGAAAGTCGAAGGTAGAAGTTTGCAAATTCACCATACTGGCAGGGTGAAGGGTTAAGTGAATAACCGCGCTTGTGTTCTGTATAAGTGTCTTAAAAAGACAGCACACGTCTATGCACCTGAGATAATAAAGTTTCCAAGATGACTTGATTAGTTGGCTTTCGTCAGGAGTAGTTTCAGCTGAACATCTCATAAAAATTCAAGGAAGAAGGAGAAAGAAGAAACAAAGTTTGATATAACTTTTATAAACTATAATTTGAACAGTGATTACCTACCTTAATTTGACGAACAATTTCAAATTCTGATGTTGTATGGAAATCAGCTCCTTCTTTGCGTAATAACAATCTTAGAAAACGTGTCACATCACGACCAGCTAAGTCGGTACGTTCAATAGCGTGTGGAAGAGCATAGCCTTCATAGATAGGCACAGCATGAGTTACACCATCACCTGAATCGAGTACAACTCCTGTAGTTCGTCCTGTAGAGTATCTAGTATTTTCAAGGTAGGAAAATAAATTAAGAGAAATGAAATTTTCAGCAACCTGACCTGTTACGATCGACCATGGAGTTAGTATTAATGTATGATGGCTCATTATACTACAAAGTCGCCCAGGCCAAAGTAGTTTTCCAACTTGGGACTTACTGCTTGAATTTCTAGTGTTGAAGTCAACAAGCAACATTTCTAATTCATGCGATGGAGACCGAAAAAACACAAATATGTTTTCCACAATGAACTACATAGTAGTAACAGCAGTAATTTAATAGAATAGCTAGTTTTATGAAATTGGGAGCAAAGAATAACTGTCTCATTCGGTTATGAAACTTGTAAATACTATGGCGCCGTAAACGTTTAATTACACCATCATGTTGAGAGACTGTTGGTCATAAAACCAGATCTTACCTGACTGCCAGTTTGCTTTTGATTGGTATTTTTAAAAACTGAATGTAGACATTAAACTGTCTTACTTAAATGCACTATTTGTATGCAAAGAAACACTATATCGAGTTGTTGGAGGCAATCAGCAGAAATTTCTGTTTGATCTAGGCTTTAAGCTTTTTGGTACTTGTCAAAAAAGCATATCCGCAACCTCTAGGGGACAGATATCTCTTTAGAGATCCGGATACGTATCACTAGCCAGTGCTACAGTTTGAGATCTCACCATTTGGCCTTTCGGGGTGTTATTCGTTTCCTCCAGGACTGTTCACTCAGGAGTACTGAACGAATCAATGAATCATGCAATCCAACAGGATATGAGTTCTGACGCAAATAACTCAATAGTAAGGTGTCCCAACTGAAGCACTGAGTGGTGCACATCCGTATCTCTGAGGTGGTGATATCAGTTCTCTAGAGGTTGTAGATAAATCTCCTGGATGAGTGTTAGCAAGTACGGAAACTAGATTGAGCAGGGCCGGTCTCTAATAAAGTGACATCACTCAAAGGTGCTCCACGATGTTAAGTTTCTTAGTTTGGTGATCGAATTGCAATATGATCGATATAATTCGATAAAGAAATACACTATGAGCATAAAGCCGAGCACTAAGAGACATTGTTGTATCTTTTGTGTTATATTTCTAGAGATAATTGACTAAAAGTTATATCAATAACGTGTTTGTTTAACTTTAGTAATCAACAAATCTCTAGGTAGTTCGAAACCATATCATTTGGCATCGTAATAAGAGACATCACAGTTAAGCGAATCGAAACAACACAGACTGAGTGTTTGACTTGTAGTGAAATTCAGGCCATACATTCCGTCCTATTTAGGACTCATCAACTGGATGTACCTGGAATCCAGTGAACGAAGTTGATCTTACTGAAACTCGAACCCAGAACTCATTGCTACAAACGTCAAAGCACTATTCACTAAGCCACTGGGGCAAGGAAGTCATTACTTGTGCAACGGGTATCATTTATTGTTTGCTTGTATTTTCCCGTTGCTATAAAGAGTTGAATTGTTCGATTCGAAATTGTCTAAATAGGAATGAGGGAATAAAATGTTATTTCACCTAGTCTCAACCCTCACCCTCCCCCCCCCTGATGTACACGCGATAAGAACCATCAACACATGTGTACATATAAATCTCAATCTGTCACACAGTACACTACACATGGAATCATCTTTATTCAATAGTTTGACAATGCAGAATCATTCATGCAGAAGAATAGTTGTCAAGTTATCATCTACCAGTTTAGGGGATATTGTAAATTCCGGTTTATTATAGCTTTGATAAAAATACTAGCAGGAGCGAATAGTGTAACGTCAGTTGGGAAATATAAGTAGCATACTAATGAGTATCATTTACCCGATGCCCAATTTTTTGAAACCATCAAATCTAAACTTGGTTTGGACATATATGCAGATGTTATTGTTCGTTAACCGTCTTGTTTCAAAAGATAGGAGAGTGAAATGGTTGAGCACATTGACTAGTTCACTTACTTGGGAGGCTGGATCAGTTCTGATGGACTAGTCATCGATGGAATCTTTGCACGAACGGAAAAGATTCGATTAACTTCTTCTAAATTATGTCAAAATGATGAGATGCCTAGTAGGAGTGAATTGTACAACATGGAAGTTATGTGCATCCCATTATACCACTGTGGAACATCATCAATCAAGGTGGAGGACAACAGAGAGTTTCACATACTCTACTACTGTGCGTTATGGAACCAGTACTTTAGTAACATGAAAGTCAGACATGGTGTCCTGCATAAAAGGGGAAAATTAGTTGATCAGGTTGTTAACCTTTTATCAACTCAGGTTGATGGGATTATGGGTTACGCACATCTGACCATCGCCTACCATGCCTCACAATGCTAGCCGAAGTGAGCTAGGTTAACAAAAGGTTAAAGTTAGCAAGTCACTGACTGTTTACTTGAGTCGTCTAGAGAGTGTAAACTTCGCAAGTTGGGGTCTGTGTGATAGTCGAAATCGGTGGTTGAGGACTCTAGGTGAATGGGTTCAGAAAAGATTTCAGTGGCATAGATGTATCTACACCATATTACACTTCTCTGTTGTTTTTACTCCATCTTCCTTTCGACGACTTTTCGTGATACATTTTTCCCTATTATTTATTTCTCATCTTCATGTTCTGCATCTTCATTTGCTGATATGAAGTGTGGCGACTGACTGAGAACTATCTATTCTCAGTGGAATTCTGTTTACTCTTTGCATCTTTGTGTACTTTGTGTTTATAGGCGTTAAAGAGTTAATTTGATGAACTTTAGTTTGTTGCTAGTTCGTACTTAAAATGTTTTACACATTTGAATACGACGTTAAAATATTCAATTAGCATAAGAATTAAAAACTTACAAACTTAGTACTGCTTGCATTGAAATATACAGAGCAGGTACACTAAATGTTTCAAAGAATATTTCTGCCATTTTCTCTCTATTCTTCTTAGGGTTGTATGGAGCTTCTGTTAATAAAACTGGATGTTCTTCACTATTGACCATCAACTGATCCTTTCCATATATATAGGCCCATATTCTTTCCATATCATTCCAATCACGTATAATACCGTGTTCAATAGGATATCGAATACTCAATAGTCCACGGTGTTCTTCTGCTTTAGGTCCAATAAAATCATCACCTTCAAGAGCACCTGCCATAACTCTGACATGTTTTGGACGACCAATACTTTAGAAGAGAGGTAGGGGGGGGGGAGAGAGAGAGAAAGGAATGAACTAAAAGTTGGACTTACTAATTTGGAAACCGATACTTTGGAACTTGATCACCTGCAAAACCTGCTTTCAGTATACCTGTACCCTAAAATAAGATAAAAGTTAAAGGAGAATCTTAAACAGATGTTCAATTGGAGAAACCAGCTTATCATTTATAAAGTCATATGGTTACAATCTAGTCTGTTTATTAGAATTTTTATACAGTGAAGGAACAGTTTACTTACTGGATAACGTTTCGGATATAATACCTTGAGTCTTAATGAGTATTCACCTAAATCTATCAATAAATCCACGAGAAACCGAAAGCAAAATATGAAGTCAGTGATGAAGATGTTATCAAACCTGGTGGAGACGAAGCGTTCACGACAAAATATCAAAGTTTGGAGAATATACCAAATCACCGTTATTCTCATCTTGAGCTAGATATCTCTTTCATGATGATCACTAGTCGTAGCAACACGGGTGTTATGAATAATAATTCTACTAATAATAGTATTAGTGGTGAAAGGGTTGAGAGGGGATTCAAAGCCTCTGGTATGTTAACATACCAAAAAGACAACTCAGAAGCGCTGCTAAGAATTATCAACAAGGCTAGGGTAAGAGTGTGGCATTTAAACCGACAAACTGGCTTAGAAGCAAGCTTTGTAGGTTAAAAGATCCTATTGATGGAATTAAGCAAAATAATTTAGTTTACTGAATCCCTTGTTATGATTGCGAGGTTAAACTAGTTAACCAGGGTCAATTAGTAGGACAACAGAGAACAAGAACTTCGTTAAATCAAGATCAGTAGATCCTAATAAGATTAGGAATCTCCAAAAAAGCTCGGCCACGCAATTGCACACGATGACACAATAGAGTGGAATAAAGCGACAATATCAAAAACTTAGTTGGGTGGAGAGTGAGATTGACAATAGAATCTTTGTTTATCGAATCAGCACCAGGTATATGAAATATTCTACTACGCTCGTCGCAAAGGAGAGAAAATTAGGACTATATAAACTATCTCAAAGTTGTGGAGTTACCTGATATGAATATGGACAGTAAATTATGTCCGAAACGTTATCCAGTGAATGGTACTGTTCCTTCACTGTGTGACAATTCTAATAAACATACTAAAATAGAACTACAATCTACCACGTTGGCCAAGTTTTACTCCTATATTACAGTCATATACTATTAGTTGACCCGAGCAATTTTCTCTGTTACCGATATCAGTATTTTGATTTTATTCAAGAAGGGAATCGACAAAACTGTAGCAATGATCACTAGTGATTACCATAGCTCAAGTAGACAGTGTGCGAGTTTGTTTTGCATATCCTATAAGTTAAGAGAGAAACATGTCAACGGTATGATATTGCTTTTTTGCGGAGGTTTCAAATGTATGTGATCCAATTTCTAGTTAATGCGCTTTAGCTACCGATCGGTGATGAACATGGAGTAGTTCTGAGTCACAACGTGGTTACAGCGCTGTCTAGCAGTTGGGATTAAACAATTATACTATCGAGGCTGTACAACTTCTGAGTGTATTTCAACGAAGATTACGTCTAACGTCATTTGGACAGCGTTAGTTTGAGTCTTAGAATTATCATCTGTAACCCATTGGTATAACTAATTGATTTTAACCAATGAAAGATAGGATCACACCTCAACCTACCTAACGATATTTCGGTCGCCGAAGTAGAATCATTAGCCAGTAAACAATAGGTGTGACCCAATGGCTTGGATATGTACTATGCATGCCAAGTCACCACCTACCCGGACCAACTAAACGAAGACAGGCTAAATTAGGTTAGAAGAAGCTTCAAGATGGTCAGACCAAAACGTGGCAACAGTCCATGAAGTCTCCTACTGTCGGCCTGAGCTGTGTGGGGCCACGTAGATTGCCTCGTTAGGGGCCCCGAGACGAAACGAATCAATGGTTGAGAAATCTTGGTGATGGCAGGAAATCGGTCATATTAGTGCAAATGTATTCATTTTCTGACATGTTCCGAAGGCTGGAATATTTGCACCAACTTTTATTTTCACACTGCTTATTTTCTCATGCAACTTAGCCTATCCACTTCCGTTTAGAAATCACCTGCCACAACTTCCACGTTTCAACGTTTGGCTTTCAGTAAGAGGCTGGACATTTTCGGTCAAACTCACCCTTCACTTCATCAAAACTGCAGTCAGTAGGTGCGTGCGCAGAGATTACAGACAGCCGAGGACCTGTTTCACTTTTCATTTACTCTCCACTGTGCTTCTCAGTCGAACAACACATAGATGACTGACATCTAGGAACCAGTCGAGCACTGCACTTTCCGCATTTCCATTTAACGCAACACCACCTGCAAGACCGCGAGAACTAGCCATTGGATCTCCAGAAAGTCGAAAGTAGGAGTTTTCATATTCACTATATTGGCCGGATGGTATTCAGTAGTTAACAAGACTTGGATCCTGCATACGTGTCTCATACACAGTACACCCGTGACCTTAGATGTTGGAGTTTCAACTAGCTAAGTTTGTTGGGTAATTTGATGGTAGGAGTGTGTGTGTGTGTGGGGGGGGGGCAATGAAGGTCCCAGCATAGGGTTTGGAACGGGATTTCAGGAGACCTGGGATGCTGTTGCATGGACTAGAATCCTTCGAAGATTTGCATCACAGTTGAGAACAGATGCATTTCTATCCCACGGCCCTTTTACCCTGATATCTTTCACAGTCATGTTAAGCGTCTGGAAGCAATCAGAAGGAAGCTTGATAACCAATTCGCAAGATAATCAATAGAATTCGTTCAGCACTCAGAGTTAGATAACACGGAATTGATCTTTCTCCAATCAGTTACTGATATACAACTTAGTCGTGTACGTAATTTCTCAATGAAAACAACACAAGGAAAACGGAAGTGAGATTTTCATTTTACAAAAAGATGATGTAATTAGATAGCCAAATGGAGAAGTACTAGATACCTCTCTGTTTTCATTTGTAACACAGACGTGAAATACTGTGAAAGTGGGACTGATTAATTGTCCAGTACAAGTGGTTTCTCCAGTTGTTTCTTTGCACTGCTTGGATTTTTACGTTGTCCAGAAATGTAGAAACTTAAAGAAGCATTTATGTTGAATAAAGCTTAATTGATATGACTCTTAACAATGATAGTAACAATATCTGAAGGTGGAAAGTAAACATTGTTTTTGTCTTTACTGCTGTGTATCAACTTAATGAAGAAAACTTTAGGTCTAGGTGTAAATGTATAATAATTAGAATCACTTAAAAAATACAGTCTTGTTTTGTGCATATTTAGTTCCCTAAGGATAGTTTATAGCAAACCCGCTACACATACTGAGGTCTAGGTAGTTAGGTAGTATAAGCCCTTATAGTCACATTTTACTCCAACTTTCGGCTCAGCTCTAAGTTCTAGACTGGACATTCGTCTTCTGGAACGCTATCGTCTCTCAAACCTGGGAGTTGGTCCCGTCACCGAACAAGAAGCGTCTGTTCGTAAAGCGATCACATGAAAACGAACACTCCTGGCAGGACATTCTAGTTAACGCTCCTGCAAATTTCATAAGTGAATTCCTCCTTCTCAACTATCACGCTTTAACGTATCCGCGTTTGCCAGATGATTGGCTAGTTGACCATATTTACCTCCCCATGGGCAGACATGTATGGGATACGTCTCGCTAATTATCCACAATCTTGCAGATAGCGATGTAGTACACCCGCCCGGAAGCTATCAGTCATCACTCACCGAGACTTAGTTGAAGGCACGCTCCCAGGCAATGCGGTCATCCATATGTTAGCAAACGATACCTGGCATTCCGGACCGAATACAGCTTATATTCACAAGCCACGCCACAAACACCTCTTGGGATTGCTTTAACAACAGTGACTTTCGGAAATAGGAAGCTGGCGCGCTGCTCCCAGAATTAATTAGCTGGGTGGAGTTCTGACGGTCTGCTTGCCCGTTCATGCTTCGGAGATTTGTGTCCCTAAACAGCGCTGAAGGATATTGTTAACCACGTTGGTCGCTAAGTCAGCTAAGACGATGTATTGGTTGCAATCCAGCGGGACCACGTAGAAGTTCACCGTCATTTACGTAACTAGGCTCGACCGGCAATCACCTGTGCTTCTTAGATTTCAGGCTTTTTTGGCCCGCAGCTTAAATAACCAAACCACATAACCGCACCGCATGGAGTTCTTGACATTGATACTCAGCAGGTAACTATGGAAAAGCATTTACCTACCTCAAGAGAGCCATAGTTAATCCCACATACAGTAAGTGTGGTCTACTGCTTAATGAGTAAATGTGCACGTGCTTGTTGAGTTATGTAGACAGTATCACAGGACTTACAGAAAAACCTAACAAAAAGTTAAAATGCTTCCCTTTCCCAAGATCATCCTCGCCCATACATTTAGTTATTTTAAGAAACTAAATATCATATGCACTTAGGGGGGATAAATACATATAAATAACTGCAAAAGCTTTTGAAATCCCAAACACTGATACGTGCAACTGTCTCCATCGATATCAACTATAAGGATGACATCAAAACAGCCTTTATAGGTTTGCATAGAAACTGTTAAGAGTATAAATCTAGATTTACTGAAGCATCAGCCAAAGGCAAACCTAAGTTGTTTTTCCATATCAAATTTATTTATTTGATACAGCACACAATGTGACACGGTATTATTTAATCGACTATGTTTCGAGCATGAGTCATTGCTCCTAATCACGTCAACGTAAACACGCAACTTTCGACATTTGAGTTTTATAGTTCTATCACCTCATGTTCTTTGTTTTTATTGTTAGTAACAACTTTCATATCTCTGGTATAGGTGTTGAGTCACTCTTATTTCGTGTATTAGATGTTGATTTGATGAACAATAATTCAGTAGTCAATCTATCTCTCCACCTAATTATATTAAACTTAACCCACTTCATTGAGCAGTTGTATGCAATAACAGCTTTTCTTTTCTAGATTATTGACCATGTTGCCGTCTTTCATTCTATATTTGGTTAAATTCCTATGTTTCGATAATCTAACTGACTCCGGTCGGCTAGTTTGACCTATGTACTTAACCTCATAGTCATTGCGTGGGATTTGG